CTGAAGCTTAATTTCGCTGGATACACAATTCTTGGTTGGAACCCATTTTCTTTCAGTGTTTGAAATATGTTATTCCAGGATCTTCTAGCTTTCAGAGTCTGTGTTGAAAGATCAGCTGTTATCCTGATTGGCTTACCCCTAAATGTAATCTGCTTCCTTTCTCTTGTAGCTTTTAAAATTCTCTCCTTATTCTGTATGTTGGGCATCTTCATTATAATGTGTCTAGGTGTGGATCTCTTATGATTTTGCACATTCGGCGTCCTGTAGGCTTCTAGGATTTGGGATTCTGTCTCATTCTTCAAGTCTGGGAAGTTTTCTTGTATTATTTCATTGAATAGACTTCTCATTCCTTTGGTTTGGAGCTCTGTACCTTCCTGTATCCCAATGACTCTTAAATTTGGTCTCTTAATGTTATCCCATATTTCTTGGATGTTCTGCTCATGGTTTCTTAACAGTCTTGCTGAGCTGTCTATGTTCTTTTCCAGTTGAAATACTTTGTCTTCATTGTCTGATGTTCTATCTTCTAAGTGTTCTACTCTGCTGGTAGTATTCTCCATTGAGTTTTTAAGTTGGTTTATTGCTTCCTGCATTTCTAGGATTTCTGTTTGTTTGTGTTTTATAACCTCTATCTCCCTGTATAGTTGATCCTTTGCTTCCTGGATTTGTTTGCGTAATTCGTTGTCGAAGTGATCTTTCATTGTCTGATTTTGCTGTTTAATGTCTTCCTTGATACTCCAGATCATCTGAAGCATGTATATCCTGAATTCTTTATCTGACATTCCATCTGCTGCAGCTGTTACCTCTTCTAAAGTTGCGTTGACCTGCATTGCTTGTGGTCCTTTCTTTCCTTGTCTTTTCATACTGTTTGCGTATCTTTCCTGCAGGTGCGGGCGGCGGCTCTGCTCTCTTCTTATTCCAATTGGGGTGTCGTGGCTACCACGCCGGCAGGTCACTGGGCCTGTTCTGGGAGCTGGCGGCGGCTCTGTTCTGCCCCTACTCCAATTGGGGTGACGAGTGTACCACGCCGGCAGGCCACTGGGCCTGATCCGCCGGTCGGTTGCAGGTTTGCCTACCCTGCAGGCGCGGGAGGCGGCTCTACTCTGCCCCTACTCCAAATGGGGTGACGTGTCTGTCGTACCGGCAGGCCACTGGGCCTGTCCCGCTGGTCGGTCGCAGATCTGCCCACCTTTCGGGCACGGGTGGAGGCTCTGCTCTGCCCCTACTCCAATTGGGATGTCGTGACTACCCCGCCTGCAGGACGCTGGGCCTGTTCCTGGCACGGGCGGCGACTCTGCTCTGCCACTACTCCAATTAGGGTGGTGTTTGTACCACGCCGGCAGGCTCCTGGGCCTGATCCGCCGGTCTGTTGTAGGTCTGCCTACCTTGGAGGCGCGGGCGGCGGATCTGCCCTGCCCTTCCTACCACGCCTGCGGACCCCTGGGCCTGATCTGCAGGTTGATCACTGGTCTGCTCACCCTGCGGGCACGGGTGGCGGTTCCGCTCCGCCCCCACTCCAATTGGGGTCACGTGACCACCACACTGGCAGGGCCTGATCCGGGCGTGGCAGAAGGATCTGCTCTGCCCCTACTCCAGTTGGGGTGATGTGTGTACCACACTGGCAGGCCACTGGGCCTGACCCGCCAGGCTGTCACAGGTCTGTTTACCTTGCCAGCGCGAATGGCGGCTCTGCCCTGCCCCTCCTACCACGCCCATGTACCACTGGGTCGCGGGTCTGCCCACCTTGCGGGTGCGGGTGGCGGCTCCGCTCCGCCCCCTCTCCAATTGGGGTCACGCGGTCACCACGCTGGCGAGCCGCTGGGCCTGCTCTGGGCGCTGGCGGCGGCCCGGCTCCTCCCCTCTGGCTCGACGACAAATTGAGGAGACTCGGGTGACTGTGCCTCACCCCCCCTACCAGGAGACCAACTGCTTATGTCACCGCTGGTATTGATGAAGTTCTCTCCTCCGCCGCTTTCTGCTGACATCAGATCTCTGCCATGTTGGTATCCTATGCGAATGGCAGCATTTCGTTCCCCTTGCCGGGCAACCAAAGCAACGGGTGAGTCCTGACCGGCCCTCAGCAGGACCCGGACCGAGAAGCAGTTTCCGCGGGCTCCTAGCCCCGGGCCAGGGAACATATTATTTTTAAAAATACACCATATTGAAGTTCTTCCAAGTTGTTTGAGATAATATCACCTTTTGAATATATACATGATGCTGTCAGAAATATTAGCCTAAGACAGAAGTATTTGCTAGCATAATATTAGGGCAGATTTTTTTCTCATAGCTATATATTTGTGATTACCACAGGTAATCACTTACTCCAGTGCTTTGTAAAGTGATCTTTAAATGATGTTTTTATAATACATTAAGCACTTGCTCAATGAGGCCATAACCCCAGGAATAATGATTAAATCTGGTTAAATGTATTTACCTTCCTCCTTAATGATTTTATCAGCCGATCTCCGAACATTTCTCGTTGTCATTGATTGAAGTCCTTTTAGTCATGTTTCTTCCCTTAGGAGTCACTTTTGGGTCAAGGCAAGGGTATGAATCTTGGTAAGGTCTCAAATATAAGATCCCAATTCTTTTCTATACTGGAGCTACATGGTCTTAGCAAAGCACCTAGTATCTCTGATCACATGTGAGCTTGTCTGTAAAAAGAATAATAATAATATCTGCATTAAAGAAATGAAATGGGATAATGTCCATGAAAGCATTTCACATATTCCTGGCACATAGTGGTCACTCAATGAGCAGTAGCTTCTCTTCACTTTGCTTCTCTTAGGATGCTTTCTACTTGTTTGGTGTTTTTTTTTTTGTTGTTGTTGTTGTTGGTTAAGGAGGGACATTTTATTTATTTTTCTTTCTTCACTAGTCTGAAAACGAGTGAGATAGGGATCTGTATTTTAAATGCTTTTTCATTTCTTCACTATGTGTTCAGGAAGACATATTGAATGAATTAGTGGATGACTAGATAATCTCTAAGGCCTTAACTTTTAAGTTCTGGCATTGTTTGTCTCTTCTAATGTTTTAGTTGCTTAAAAGAAATTGGAGAGTGTCTTTAGAATAAATGTTAAGGAATTTCTTCCTTTTTGGTCTTATAAAATATGTATTTTATTAATTATTGCTAATAAGTATGTACCTGGCCCCAGGAGCTGGCTGCTATCATATAAGGAGCTTCTTCAGTTCAGGCCTGATTTTTTGTTGTGTTTCAAATAAGAGAGGTCAGAGCTAGCCTTGATTCTCCGCTTCCCTTGAACTTCTCTTGGGAAGATCTCCTGTGAAAGATAAGCAAGAAATATGCATTTGTTCTCTGACATGAGATTTGGGAATCATGCATAATAGAGGTTGAGTTTCATGATATATTCATTTCGGTCCTCATGGAAGATGCATTTTGTATTTTTGATTAAACAGTCTAGCTGGTGAGGTCAGGCCAACTCAGTGGATTAGAGGAGACACAGCAGGTCCTTCTAAATCTCAGGATTAAACTGGTCACCATCTCAGTGAGCAGCTTTTCAATTGTCACCTGAATGTGTTGCTGGAAGTTAGTGCTGGTTGAGGTAATCTTGCTCCTGCTTGAGGGCATCTCTGGTGCCTGCCTCTAGGATGGCAGCAAAGCACTTAGAAAGTGCACAGTTAAATTTGAATAAGTTTAAATCCTGTCTTGGGTGTGTTATTTAATCCTTGAATTTCAGTTTTTAAATCTTTTAAATCAGTTTTATGCGGTTTTGTGGGTGACCTGCTAGTATGATGCCTGTCAGTGAGGTCAGGTCTCATGTCAGTGACACATTTCAGAAGAGAAGCATGGAAGACAAAATCCTCTGCTCCCCATGAAAGTGACAGCACTGGGAGGGTATGGGAGGAGTGTTCCCAAAGTTACTTGCTGCAATCTACAGTGGTGGCACTAGGGACGTGGCAATAGGGACGTCTCATGGATTGGAAAACATGATAATCTTGGGAAAGAAAAATCCAAATGCATGTTTCATTCTAGGATAATTTGAAATGCTGATTGATATGTGAGTAGCTTCAACCTTTTCTCCCCTACTCATCTTCTAGGAATTGTCCAGATGTAGCCTTTGGTTTGGGGGGGGGGTAAAACTTTAATAATCTCTGTATTCTTGCAATTTATTTGAATCCCTGATGTCCAACAAGCCTTTTATTTCTCATTAGTTCTTGAAAAAGTTAAAATGGGTGTTCTAAAAATAAACATCAATACATTCTTTTGACCCAAATGGCCTGTTTTAGACAATAGAAGAAGGATTCTGAACAGTGCTTTTATGTATTTGAGAGACACAGCCCCATGCTTTGCTAATTAGCTTGTGGCTTCTTACCTTACAGTGGCTCAATTGATCTCCTTTTCAGAGGCTCCAGGTGTCACCACAAGGGCTGTCAGACAATAGGTGAATTGGGTCCCTTACAGTACAATTGATTTCAGGTCATGGTTTTTGTGTTGTGTTTAGCTAATTTTAGGTTTTGAGGAACCTTGTAATAAAAGGTGGGGATTGGCAATAGTTGTGATATTCAGAACCAAAATAAAACAAAATTTTGTTTCTTTACACAGCTATTTTGAACTGGAGAGCAGTGGCCTGAGGGATGAGATTCGATATCACTACATACATAAGGGGAAGCCCAGGACAGAGGCACTTCCATACCGAATGGCGGATGGGCAGTGGCACAAGGTCGCACTGTCAGTGAGTGCCTCTCACCTCCTGCTCCACGTGGACTGCAATAGGTATGTCTTTGATTGTTAGTGATTTTGCCCTTGAAATCAAGCAATGGAAAGGGGGAAAAAAATCAAATCCCTCCAAGACTTGCCAGGAAACAAAAACCAAGGGACCTTAATTGTAATTTAACCTACCAAATGGGCCGTTAGGCGTGCTGAAATGACCAAGTGTAATATGATAAGAAAACAGTTCATTAAGATGAAACTGTATCCTATGATTAGGAACAAATGTACAAAAGGTTGATTACAGATTGGGGAATATTAAGTGCACCTCGGTGTGCTCTCGGCACTGGCTGAAATTCCATGGAACTGTGATCACAGTTAACTGTGATATATTGTTGTTGAGTTCGTTCCACTTGGGAGCAAAGAAGCCAGTCTACCTCAGAATGAATCTGAGAAGCCTTTGCTACTGAAGCGGCTAATTCTATTTTACTTCATCAGGTGCAGCTTTGCTTAAATATCTTTTCCAAATGGGACCTTCTTAAAATGGCTGTTCTTTGAATCTTTTGGAATCAATGCCATCCATTCTCTGCAGAGGAATGCACCTTCCAGCTTTTCAGAGGGTGGCAGGACTATTTGTGAGATCTGGGGGGGTTCTATAGAAAGTTGCAGTGACACAGACATGCTGTTTTATTTGGCACTGGAGGTAGGTTTACTGACAGCTGAAGAATGGAGACCACTGGTTTCTGTTCAATCACTTGTGGCTAGACAGCTAGATAATGGTGGTTAAGGGAAAAATGTTAATCTCTCCAGAAACCACTGAAAATCCTTATGGGAAGCAATCCAGTCCAATTACAGAGAATTTTTTTGCATTCCAAGCATGCATTGTTGGTTCTCATTAATGATGCCATTAAAGTTAAAATGACTGTTCAGCCCCAGGGCTTGCTCCCTGGGGCCTAGGGTAAAGAAGTGCTGGGGACAGCCTCCCTTCCAGAACCCATCAAGAGGAAGGGTATTCCAAGGTCAGTCAGTGACAGACTACATATCTGATGAGTGGATTTTTTTTTAGTGTGCTTGACACTCCTTCTGAAGTCTGCTTTAGAAGTCTTGGAAGGGCAGCAATCTGGTGTCAGGCTCAATCCAGTGTCAGGCTCTGAGAAATCGAAGTGTGTCTTGCTCCATTTTGATGTGCTCTATTTAAGGTACTTTCTAGACTTCTGAAGTATTGTGGCTTTGACTAGTTATAGTATTGTGTCTGGACAGTTTCCATAGAAACCATTGGCTCCTTTTCACCCTGCAGACTTGAGCTGGGCAGCCTGGAGGAAGCCAACCTTTAACTGCTCTCTCCGTTTCTACCTTTCAGAACTCATTGACTCTTTCAATTCTCTAGAAGTAAAGTGGCCTGGTAGATAGCACTCTTGTTCCTGGTGATTTGCCATCCACATGCTGCCCAAGTGGGATTGCAGAGGAAGGGCACTGCTTGTCCTCCTAAATCTCAGGCCAGGAAAAGGCCTCAAATTCCTACTTTAGTAATATCCAGCCAAAAATTCCTGGAGACACTGCTGTTTTCTTGCTATACATTATTTTGCTTCTTTCCTCCAAAAATTTTATTGTGTCTTGACATTGTTCTCTTTCAAGAACAGAAAAAAAAAATAGGAGAGAGAGGATCTGTCCCTGCTAAGCTAGAGTTTCTTGCCTCCATAAATTCTTTGGTCCCTTCGAAGACTTTGGGCAGGTGAATTTACTTACATATTAGCCATTTCATTTGAAACAGGAATGAAATATGAATACCTATTTATGAATACTAATTATGCTCTACATCATGATGTTTTGGTTAGTAACAGGCAGCATATAAGATGGTGGTCTCATTAGATACATCGCTTAGTGACATCATAGCCTTCTTAGTCTGTGTAAGTGCATATATGATGTTCATACAATGACACAATCACCTAATTCATTTATATCCCTGTTGTTATGGATCATATGACTGCACATATTTACAAATTGGAGTGTTAAATATTCCATGTAAGGTGCTTAGACCTTTAGTGTACAATATGCCTTTTGGTGGTGGTTGTTTTTTATTTTGCATATTTACCTCTTTGACCTTGCCTCTAACCTTTTTTCCATTGTCCATACTTCATGGATTCCACAGCCTCTCTTCAAGAAGAGTGGGAAAAGGATGGGGGCACTTTAGCTTTAGGATTAGCCAGTATTTGTGGAATGGATAGAGGAGATTCTATGTATTCATTTTCTTAATATTTTTACTCTTTGGCGTATGACATAACATGTTCTTTATGTGAGATCTTGGGAGATCCTTGGAGTTGTGTGGAAAAATGTGGGATCTTATTGCTGGAACTCATTGCACCTACATTTATTGAACATTATTACACTCTAGGTAACACACTAGGCTTAATGTTCCTTAGGACAGCCATATGGGACAGCTGTATTAGACCCATTTTATAGACTTGGAAATACAAAGGCCCAGAGAATGTAAATCACTAGGTTTCAGTAACATAAGTATAGAAACAAAACTTTGGACATGGATCTACCTCTCAAACTTTATTCTTACCACCCCTCCATATCCCCTCCATAGTGTGTAAACTTCATGCACTGTTGAAGACAAAGCCACAAGGACAGGAGGGAGTCTTCCCAGGAGTCAGTGCTACAGAATGTCATAAAGACGTTTAAAATCAGTAACACAAGATTTCCAGGTAATACCATTGCTCTGAAGAATTTTAGTGTGGCAGGACTTTCTGCTTTATTTTTTTAATACATAGGTTAGAAATTGAGAAATGGCTTTTTCAGACCTAATTGCACAAATCGTCATAAGAAAAGTCATTGCTATTTAAGTAGTTCAACACTTTCTATGCTACCAAGACTTACACTTTTTTCCTTGCTTCAGCTCTTTACCCGGGCCTAGCTAGAAAATGTCACAGTATACAGGTAGAAGATTACCTCAAACCAGAAAGATAAAAGGAACCATTCAGCTGGGTGGCCAGGCTGGTTATCTCCATTGCCTTGGGTTTTCCTCTACCTACCTTTTATATTAATAGTTGCCAACCAAGCCTAGAATGAGATCTTCCTCTGATTCTCTCCCTCTGTTCTCAGCTCCCTTAGCAGACTGTCCCATTAGTCAAAGGAAGAATCCGCCAAACCTGGGATTCAGATCAGTGATCTTTCACATTCACCACAAATGGATTTTCTTTTTTTCATTTGGTAACTTTTTTCAATCACCCAGTCATTTATTGGGCAAACTATCTCTGTGAGGATACTAAGAAATAAAAGCTTCCTAGCCATCGGGAAGTTCATGGCTTACTCATTTTATTCTTTTAAATTCATCCTGAAGCCACTATTCCTCCCCCTGAACTGTGATTGTCCCTGTCCTGGGTATCAGAGAGAGCCCGGACTCAGCCAGAAGCCCTGTGAGCAGTTTAAGTATTAGAGAGAACTGAAAGTAGTCACTTCCAGCATCTTGGTCTTAAAGTGACAGTAGACTGCATCCAGGTGATGGACTCTACAATCTTTTCAATTCAAATGGCACCTAGGCCTAGCCAGCCTGTGGCTAGCACTTTCTGCAATATGCAAGTGCCCCTGCCCTAGGTTAACCTCTTTTTTTCATTTTTTATTTTAATTGGTTATATATGACAGCAGAATGCATTAAAATTTATATTACACATATAGAGCACAAGTTTTCATATCTCATTGTACACAAAGTAGAATCACACCATTTGCGACTTCATACATGTACTTAGGGTAATGATGTCCATCTCCTTCCACCATCATTCCTACCCCCATTCCCTCTTCCTTCCCCTCCCTCCCCTTTTTCCCTTTGCCCTATCTAGAATTCATTTGATCCTCCCATGCCATCCCAAACCACATTATGAATCAGCAGCCTTAAATCAGAGAAAACAAATGGCATTTGTTTTTTTGGGATTGTCTAACTTAGCATTATGTTCTTCAACTCCATCCATTTAACTGCAAATACCATAATTTTATTCTCTCTTAATGCTGAACAATATTCTATTGTGTGTGTGTGTGTGTGTGTGTGTGTGTGTATCACATCACATTTTCTTTATCCTTTCATCTACTGAAGGGCATCTAGGTTGGTTCCACAGTTTAGTTATTGTGAATTGTGCTTCTATTAACATTGATGTGGCTGTGTCCCTTGTAGTATGCTGTTTTTAAGTCCTTTGGGTATAGACCAAGGAGAGGGATAGCTGGGTCAAATGGTGGTTCCATTCCAAGTTTTCCAAGGATTCTCCATACTGCTTTCTATATTGGCTGCACCAATTTGCAGTCCTACCAGCAACAAATCCTCGCCAACACTTTTTGTTGTTTGTATTCTTGATAGCTGCCATTCTGACTGGAGTGAGATGAAATCTTAGAGTATTTTTGATTTGCATTTCTCTGATTGCTAGAGATATTTTTTTCATATATTTGTTGATTGATTGTATATCCTCTTCTGAGAAGTGTCTGTTCAGTTGCTTGGCCCATTTATTTATCAGGTTATTTCTTCTTTTGGTGTTAAGATTTTTGAGTTCTTTATATATCCTAGAGGTTATTGCTCTATCAGACGTGTGCATGGTAAAAATTTGTTCCCAAGTTGTAGGCTCTCTATCACTATCACCTCACTGATTGTTTTTTTTTTTCCCTGAGAAGAAGCTTTCTAGTTTGAATTCATCCCATTTATTGATTCTTGATATTAATTATTGTGCTATAGGAGTCTTATTAAGGAAGTTGGGGCCTAATCCGACATAATAGAGATTTGGGCCTACTTTTTCTTCTCGTAGATTCAGTGTTGTCTCTGGTTTAATTCCTAGGTCCTTGATCCACCTTGAGTTCTGTCTCACTGCTGGAAAAATTATCTCTGAATCACAGTCTATCATATTTTAACCAAACTCTGAATTCTTATTTCATTTGTTCAGACTTGTAGAAGTGTGCTTGGCACGTGCATGAATACACACACACACACAAACACACACATATACTCTCTTATCCTGATCACTACCCTGAAAGTGAGTTAACTCAGTGATTATAGTCTGGACAATAGCATATTTAGATTTCACTTT